CCCTTTTTAACAAATTTCTATTATAATTGCATGCTGCCAGAAATCTTGGATAGTCGGCATAATAGACATATGCCTATTAGAAATCCAGATTATATAATAGAAGCTCAAAAAGGGGTAAAAAAATTAAATAGTTGTCGACAATGTAATACAGAAAACAAAAATATTATCAAAGAAAGTCAATGTTGCGAATATAATAGTTTATCTATGAAAGCAACTGTCACTCCTGTTACTGTTATAAGTGCGGAACAAGATGACGATTGCGCTATTGTAAATAGTTACTCACAAAATAAAAAAGAACTAACTGAAAACGATATGGCACGACAAAAAAATTTTCTCGATAATCGTCCTATATCTGATAGTGAAATAGAGAAAAATGTATTACCTGTGGATAGTCTAATAAACGACGATTCATTGGACAAATTCTTGCGCGTCGTAAAAAATACATGTCCTTTTGAAACACAAAGTGTGTTATATTTAGAATATTCTCATTTAATTGAAGCAAGTCGTAGCGACAAAAGCTTACAAATTATTGGAGGAAATTGCAGTAATCATTGGCGATGTATATTTTTTGACGGCACCAAGCTTCGAGTGTATGACAGTCTACCCGATTGTACATACAATAAATTGGTGCCTAAAGAAAAAATTACATTCATCGTCGTTATCCACAAATAAGTGCAAATGATATTATATTTGAAAAGGTTCAAAAACAACCTGATGGCACATGTTGTGGAATTTATGCTGCAGCTTTCGCTACAACTATAGCTTTAGGAGAAAATCCTTGTAATATGACATATTCGAATCGTATTGATAATATGAGGCAACATTTTCTTTACATTATCGAAGAAAATAAACTGTCGCCTTTTCCAAAATTCTAAAAAAAGAATCTTTAGGAAAAGATGCCTCAAATAAATATAACACAAATTTTATGTATTTATATCTAACGATATATACATAAAGAGGTGCATGTTTTTGTATATATCGAAATTATATATATATCGATTTTGCAAATAATACATAAATGTCAATATTGCTATAAATATCAGCACTTGTCTCTTCTCCCTGTAAAATGAAACAAAAATTCTTTCTCGATTTACACCTACCTTGTCGTGGTGAAAAAGCTTTATACTAAAAGGTGTAAATAAGAGAGCAACAAAAAATTAAATTAGAAGTACATTTTATATCATGTTTTTTAGTGTCTAAAAGAAATTGTACAGACACTTGTACCTTTTCATCATATAAATATAAATATAGAAACACATATACATATTATGTATGTCAAAGTGAACAATAAATTGTGTTCAAATAAAGTAAAAAAAAACACATTTATATTTATATTCTTATCATCGACATTATACGCAAATATATGCGTATAAGATGATGTGTAACAATGTGTATATATAATTATTTTTTATAAAATTACAAGTTATATAAAATGGGACATTCTATTTAAATATATATCCTATATATACATATATATATATATATATATATATATATATATATAGGATATTTAAATAGGATGTCCCATTTTATATAACTTGTAATTTTATAAAAAATAATTATATATACACATTGTTATATATATACACATATATATACACATTGTTATATATATATATATATATATGTGCAGAGGTAGTTTTCGGGACATTGTGTGCGACACAATGGCAGTTTCCAGGACTTTTGTTGCTTTTCAGGACTGTCCTGAAAAAAATTATGTATCTAATGGCAGTTTTCAGGGCGTCCCGAAAACTGTCTTTGGACATATAAAGGAACTGTCCTCAAATGTACCTTTTAATATATATTGTTTATATATATAAATTTATTTGTATAATGGTACATTTCAGGACATATTAAGAAAATATAGAAATTAATATGTACTAATGAATATATATATAAAATACAATATATATTTCAAAGAATGATTTCTAATAAAGATTCTAGTTAATATAAGCTTTATATATTGATTCCTATTTAATATACTTTAAAAATACATAAATTAATTTGTATACTGGTTCTTTTCAGGACATATTAAGAAAATATAGAAATTAATATGTACTAATGTATATATATATAAAATACAAATATATATTTCAAAGAATGATTTCTAATAAAGATTCTAATAAATTTAAGCTTTATATATTATTTCTTATTTAATATACTTTAAAAATACATAAATTAATTTGTATAATGGTTCTTTTCAGGACATGTTAACAAATTTACGAAATTAATATGTTGTATCGATGCATATATATCATGAATCACAATATATATTTTCAAGAAAGGATCTCTAGTAACGATGTAGTAAATTTATAAGCTTTACAATTAATTTTTTATTTAATATAAAAGTACAAAAATTTATATTTGTGTAATGGTTCTTTTCAGGACATGTTAACAAAATTATGAAATTAATTCGTTATCGATGCGTATATATATCGTGAATATCACAATATATATTTTCAAGAAAGAATTTCTATTAACAATTCTGATAAATACAAGTATATATATATATATATATATATATATATATATGTCAGTCTACTATTTTGACGACAGCAAAAAAGAATAAAAATTTTATTGTATACATAAGAGTACATTGACACTCTGATGTATACATTACTTGTGATTTGTGGTAAAATGCACTGGTACATATGTATAAGCAATTAAGTGTAGATCGGTTAGTACAGCGACAGTACAAAATTAAGTATAGTACATTTATACCCTAGCTATTTTGACGACACCATATGTTCAAAAAACGATTATTATGACACTCCAAAAGTAAATAAAGAAATTCTTCTTTTAAATAGCCATTATCATTCATCGAATATGCAAACAATCAAGATATAATAATTCAGGTTTCTCTGAACAGTTTCATAAACAGTCAAGAAATAATGCTTGCAAACATTTATTCATATGGTAGTTACACGATAGTTATTGCAGAATTGCTATTGCAGAGAAACACCATCAATTCTTTCTAGCAAATATTTCACTTATTTCACAATGCTCTGACATATGTGAGATTTAATTTTCAAAATAGTACAGTACAACATTGTTTATATATATTCTTAATTGTTTACAGGCAGCATACAAGAAACATCGATATGCAATATTATAAAAATATATTTTAATCTACATTATTTTAACATCATATTTTAAGATATGCATTATGTGAGATGGTACATACATACATACAATGTAAGCAATTTGTGTAAGCAATTAGGAATTCATCATTAAGAAGGTGAAAGAGGACGAAAGAGGGTGAAAGAGGACAAAAGAGAGTGAAAGAGGGTGAGAAAGAATGAAAGAGGGTTAGAGAGGACGAAAGAGAGTGAAAGAGGACGAAAGAGGGTGAGAGAGAATGAAAGAGGGTGAAAGAAGACGAAACAGGGTGAAAGAGGGTGAAAGACATATTATATATATATATAATCCTGATGACGTCAGCGGACGCGGACAGAGAAGAAGAAGACGACGTTACTTCATTTTTCATAAAAAACGTCACTTTTTGACCGCTTGTATCTCCAGAACGGCTTGACCGATTTTATTTCTTCTTGGCTCAAATTACTCTTGGCGATGCCGCCTTTCAGGTTATATTACGTGCAATTTAAAATTTTTTATATTTTAGTAGTTCTACACCCCCAAAAGATGGACTTTGATGGTGCAGGATAAGAGACTTGTAGTGTCTTTTTTAAGGTCTTTTAGAGTTTGAACATGGCCGGAGACACTACCGCGTCTCCTGAAAAGAAAGAAAGAGAGAGAGAGAGAGAGAGAGAGAAAATATAATTATGATATTTAAAATAAAATCGTAGTTAAGATAAAGATTTCTGATAGAAGAGATATTAGATGAAAACGATACATCTAATGCAATTTACTTCTCTGCGCTTGTGTTATTTATGAAATGTGTATTCACAAGATATTACTAGTTGTCAAGTATAATATATGTAATCCTTTTATAAAAAAATTATATAAATTATTTAAAATCACTATATTTTACTTACAAACTATCTGTCATTGCTATATAGAATTAATTTTAATATTTTTTTCAATTAAAAAGACAGGAATATAAGTAAACATTTGAGACATTTTGAGATACAAAAATATTGTGGAGCTCTTAAGGAAACGGGAGGGCCCTCTTTTTGTAATATTCCAAGAAATTAATCTTGAAAAATTACGAAAATTTCAATGCAACAGACTCAGTTTTATATATATTATTAGATCAATGCAAAATAATAATGTTACAGAAGTTGTAATTGTATAAAATATTGTTTTAAAAGTTAATCAAAAAAAGCATAATTGTCCGTTTTAGGACAATTATTTAAATAATTAGTATCAAAATTAATTTTACTGATTTATTTTTTTTTTACAATTTGATGAATATAAATGTTATGTAAAAAGTAGAAGGATAAAACATTAAATATGTAGATAGTAGGAATTGTAAAAATATATTTCTATGTATAGTCTCAAAAAAGTATTCTTATATATTTGTTTAAAGCAATTTGAAATATATTTAGTAAAATAATAATTGAACAATGAACGTATGAGCATATACATGTATATTATATATATAAAAACACAAACCTAATACATATATGTATAATAGTATGTTGCACTTGTAATCATGAATACATATTATCAATAAAAGAATAAAATAAATAACTTTACAAGTATTGCTTCTATACATATAATATAAATATATGAAGAAATCAAAATAAAAAACTTGTGTAGCTTTTGCTTTCCTTTTTATAAAATTCTCGCAATGTAACTTAACTTTTAGCTTAACGTGTTATATAATTAATTTCACATATTGCACTTGTAATCATGAATACATATTATCAATAAAATTATAATAAATAATACACAGTACTGCTACTCTACATATACATAACTTAACTTTAAGTTTTATGTGTTGAAATAATAAAATTAGGTATTCTACTTATTTTTTGCATTTGCTTAAATACAAGTAATCTACGTATTATTTTAATAAAAAATTAAAATATTTCCGATTTGACTAAATAAATATTTTCTGAAAAAATATTTATTCATTTAGTGACGCTTAAATTTGCCAGATATATAGTTATGGATCCACGTTTTAATTTGAGCAACGGATCGATTAAATAAGCACTTATTTTTTTCTTTTATACAGGAAATTTTTTTGTTAGATGGCAGCTGTGAAGTGGTAATTTCTTTTTGAAATTCTTTCAATATTGTATTACGTTCTTCTTCCGTCCAACGTCTTCGTTTTGTTATACCAAATGGAGATGCTACAAAATAAATTAATTATCTATGAATCAGAATAAATATTTCTATATAAAAAGCAATAATTTACCTAAATTTTATTTAAATGTATTTTTATTTAAATTACTAGTAGAATAAAATTACTTTAAAATTCTCTTCAGAGTACTGACAAACTTTCATTAATAAGAAAATATTAAAATTATAACGTCATAATTATAAGAATAAAAGAAATAGAATGCAAAAATAAAATAATATAAAATAATATAAAATAATATAAAATAATATAAAAAATACAAATAATATAAATAAATATATAACTAAATTAAGCTAATGTGTGTGGAACCTTTATCATTTATCATTATTATTTTTAATTAAATATGTTATTATGTACATTAAAATTCTATCAAAAAATGCATTATAAATAAAGCTTAATATATTATGTGAAGTGACATTTTGTACTGTCCGTCACAAGGGCGAATGAAGGCGGGAATTCGGGAATGCTCTCTCGCCAATCTTTGAGAGAGAGAGAGCACCCGAACATCATTTTCGTTTTCACCGCGTCGGAGGATGCGCTTCGCGCATCGTTTCACGAATTATATGATTTTGTTTGAGCGATTTTTGGCGTTTTCAGCAATTTTGCATAGGGTACGTGTCTCAACCAGGAAACCAATAGAGAGAAAGAGTGAGAGGACGGAGAGGACGAAGAGGACGATTAGGAGCCACCAAGTCCGGATCACGGTAAATATTATTTCTCGCACAAATTTCTGGCTCTCCCATCCCGTTAAGAACCTGTACTCTCCGTCTAAATGTCCTTCTTCCTCAGAGATTGATCTCTCTCTCTCTCTCTCTCTCTCTTTCTGCCCACACACACACACACACTCTCTCATTCTCACTCACTCACTCACTGTTCGTCTTGTGTACTTATTCAGTACATTCATGATTAAACATCTATATGCATTAATGTGAAATTTACTTACAATTAGTTTACTTGAAATATTCAATCTCTAAAGTGTTTATCTTATAAGATAGACAAAAAAATCTGAGTAAATAATAAGAAAAAAAAACAAGGATTATTATTGTCATAATTTTTTATCAATTAAGTACTCTCAACTATCCAATAATTAAATAAATACGTACAAATGTGCGCGCGTGTACACACATACACATATTGATATTAAAGAGATTGAAGGAGAGGAAGGAGAAGATAAAAATTTAAATATTCACATATATTTTCAAATATTATATATGAATTTATAGTTTACATATCTAATTAATAATGAATTTCTAATTATATTAAACATATCAAAATAAAGACATACATGTATTTATCAAATGAATAAAATTATTGAATACAGACTTAAAAATTTATTAAACATAAACTTAAAAAATTAATTAATTAAACATATTCCAAATTTAGAAAAAATAAACTTTATTTATATATGCAACAGCTTTTTAAACTAAATTTTTAAATTCTATTTTATATTAGACAATTATCTCAATCAACATCTACGTCCACATTAGCTGCACTGCAGACTACCTCTACAGCCACATTATCTGCTCCGCGGATATAGCGTTATGCCAATACGATACATTACATGTACTTACTTACTTGCCTTTACTGTACCAACTCTTGTTCTTTCCACGTAATCATGTTTTTACAGTTATCGTTTGCTGTATATCTTCCAGCAAACTTTATTTCGTGTGAAGTGTATTTAATTAATTAAATCTCTGCGAAAGATTGAGAAGATGAAGGGATAATTCAAACTATGAAGACATGGTTACATGGAAAAGACAAGAGTTGATACAATAATAAAGACATACATGTATTTGTATCCTGCTGGCATAAGGTTATAGAAGTTGATTGAGATTGAAAAATAATAATGAAAATAATAAAAAAATAAAGACACATGTATTTGTATCGTGCTGGCATAAAGTTATAAAAGTTGATTGAGATTGAAAAATAATAATAAAAATAATAAAAAAAGGAAATATTCAATCATCATTTAAAAGCATATTTGAAATCTGTAGAATAAACAGTTTTTGCAAAAAATGTGGAGCATTAGAGCTCTAGTAAGTCTAAAAATAAATGTAAACATCAATTAATAATAACTGATGTTATATATATATTATATATATAAACCAATTTGTTGCAATATTCACTATAAAAGGTTGTAAGGGTAAGATGGCTAAAAGTGAATAATTTAAAAGATAGTTAACATAATTTTACATAAACTGAAATATTTCATAGAATAAAATATTTGTAATATTTCGAAGTTTATGTAAGATTATGTAAAAATTATACCTTTACAACTTTTTATAGTAAATATTGCGAGGAATCGATTTATATGAGAAAAATTAAGGTAATTCTATTTTGAAAATATAAGTGACCTTTAAATAACCTTGAAAATCGCCGTTTAGGAAAAAGTCTGTGTCAACTTTTTCTTTTTCGAAATCCTGCAACTTTTATCTAAATTTAATAGAAAATGTATAAAAAATGCTCGACATTAGTACACACACACACACACACACATATGGGTAAATTTATATAAATAGGGTGCTTTAGGAGGAATGATCAGGATTCTAGGATATGATTGTACACATCATTTTAAGCAAAGAAGTTTAGATAAACATGTTTAATAATTGTTCTATTCCGGTCATAAAAATATACAAAAATGAATGATATAATCTCTAAAAACTCACCTTTAAAAAAGGTAAAAAAAGGCGACCAGTTAAGGGCACGCCATTAACAAAAATTATCCATTGCAAACCCATGTAGAATCCTATCCTATTGCAAACCCATGTAGAATCCTATAAAAAATTAATCATTACAAACCCATGTAGAATCCTAGGCAAAATTAACCATTGCAAACTCATGTAGAATTGTATTAAAAATGATCCATTGCAAACTTATGTAGAATCCTACATTGCAAACCCATGTACAATAGAATTGTATGAAAAATTATCGATTATAAATTCATGTACAATCGTAACAAAAGTAATGAAATAAAAAAAAAATTGCGCCAAGTGAAAGTAGAAACTTGTACCAGTGGAAAATTAAAGTTGCAGACATATATAGAGTCGTATAATGAATCAGTAAAAATTTAAATTTGCAAATGTAGAATCGTACCATAAAAAAACTTATCTTTTAAAAAAAAGATAAACAAGATGCCAAGTCCATGCGCCATGTAAAAAAAAATAAAAAAATTTTAGTTAAAAAAACTGGGAGCGCTGCTAAATAATATTAAAATTAAATTGTTACTTTTACTCATTACATATGTTTTGTGTTTAAATTAATTAATGTTACTTTAAGGTTCATTGTAATTTTGAAACTTAGCAGCGCGCCCAGTTTTTTTAACTAAAATTTTTTTATTTCTTTTTTACATGGCGCATGGACTTGGCATCTTGTTTATCTTTTTTTTTAAAAGATAAGTTTTTTTATGGTACGATTCTACATTTGCAAATTAAATTTTTACTGATTCATTATACGACTCTATATATGTCTGCAACTTTAATTTTCCACTGGTACAAGTTTCTACTTTCACTTGGCGCAATTTTTTTTTTATTTCATTACTTTTGTTACGATTGTACATGAATTTATAATCGATAATTTTTCATACAATTCTATTGTACATGGGTTTGCAATGTAGGATTCTACATAAGTTTGCAATGGATCATTTTTAATACAATTCTACATGAGTTTGCAATGGTTAATTTTGCCTAGGATTCTACATGGGTTTGCAATGATTAATTTTTTATAGGATTCTACATGGGTTTGCAATAGGATAGGATTCTACATGGGTTTGCAATGGATAATTTTTGTTAATGGCGTGCCCTTAACTGGTCGCCTTTTTTTACCTTTTTTTAAAGGTGAGTTTTTAGAGATTATAGTGTATATACCTGAATCACTATTATTAGATTGCTGTTGCTCATTTTCACCTAATGCTGCTTCAAGAAATTTCGTCATACGAACTATCTCTACAGCTGCTATTGACTGTCGATAATGGCGTTTATGAATTTTCTCGTGATGTCCCATAAAGTTCGCCAAATCATCCACTTCATTGTCAGATAAATTTAACGTAATGCATGTTGTAGCAATATGTTTACGTAATTCAGTATCTCTTAAAGAATGTGGTATTTGTGCATCACATTTTTTAGAAAAATATCGCATAAGGATACACGCTCTTAAATATTTGAAATGACGTTTGGTACTACTACGTATGCCAAACACATACGGATTTTTCTCAGGAACATTTGCATCCTTTCGCTGGTTCAAAATTAGTTCAACACATTGAACTAATACCATGTCTAAAATCACAGGCACTGTACGTCCCAATTTTCCACGAATTAAGAATCTTACGTATTTATCAGCAACCTATATACAAAAGTTATATATGGATTATTATTTTGCATCATATACCATATTGTGTGTAATTTAATTATAATATTTGTAAACAAATAATATTTATACATAATATTTATAAATAAATTTATCATATTTAATACTTTGTGTAACATCATCTTTCCTCAAAACTGGGAATAAAAATTTTCTTACTGTCTCAATTGCACATTCATGAATTCTGCCCATCAAAGCACGTCCTAAAACTTGTACATTTCTGCCTTTCGATTTTCCTACACATTCTTTAAAATGATGCCTGATATTATTTTTAGTGAACCATCCTTTACACTTTGCGCAACTTATAAAATCTTGTACTGTTTTGCAACTATTTTTGGCAGGCCTTCGACAAACAATTAATTCTCCCGTATTTAAGAAAGGATCCGTATTATGTATGAAATTCCTTTTTTTTCTAATAGACTCTATAATTTGTTTTCTTTCTAAATTACCTGCAATGAGAATATTAAGTAATGTATATATAATGTAAATAATGTATATATAATGTAAATAATATATATATAATGTAAATATATTAATAAAAATTATAACATATTAATATATTATATTTAACAAATAATCAATATTTATAAAAAAATATACTATAAACTTAAATAATTATACAGAATTGAAAAA